CAGCCCGGCGTGCGGCAGAGGCGGGTCCTGCGCCGAACGGAGGGCGCCCATTGCTCAAATCGGCGAGGGGCGGGACCTCGAGCAAGACTGAGCTCGCCTGTTGGTCAGAAGGCTTGGAGGCGTGAGCCTGCGCCTTACAAAGCTCGTCCATTGGTCGGAAGCTAGTCCGGGCGGAGCCACTCACGTGGGCTCGAAGAGCGCGAAGCGGGGGCAGGGCAGTTCCTCAGGTCAGCCCAGGGTGGGGTTTGCAGGCGCCGATGGACCCGGGTTCCCAAGGGCAGCTCCTTGCCGCTCAGCGCTGTCCCCCTTAGCCGGACGCCTTCAGATCCGAATGCACTCATCGAACTTGTACCAATATCATCACTCTATTAACAGAGCAGGAAACTGTGGCTCAGAGACCCAAGTGACAAGCCCAGAAAGTGTCAGAATTGGAACTAGAAGTTAGAAGCCACGGTAGTGGGGAGGGGGGTGAAGACCACACAAAAACGTAAAATATCTTCCCGGTAAAAGAAATATCACATTTGAAAGACAAGGTGCAAACTTGGAAAAATATTTGCAACACATGACAAAGGGCTGATGTCCTTATTATATAAAACTCTGGCAATAAGATAATTCAGGGGGCAAAGGAAATGAGTCAATGAACAGAAAAAAATCACCAAAGACTTAAACGTATAAAAAATTGGCTCCATTCCAATCATTTAAAAAGTACAAAATTTATGTTTTCACCCATTAGATTAGCAATTATCAAAAAGTGTGATAATACTCTTTGTAGCTGAGGATGTGGGGAAAGGCACTCCATAGATCACCGATTCACCGTAAATTGGTGTAACCTCTTTGGAAGGCAGTACTGTCAGTTGTAGCAAGGATGAAAACAGTATCCTGCAAGTGAAGCTAGTTAGGTACATTACAAAATTCCATGCAATGGAATACCAGGCAAAAAGAATGAAGTGATCCAAAAGTATTGTTGAGTAAGAGTGGCCAAGAAAGACGTTAAAAAAAAAAAGTGAATGAAATACCCTGTGTGTAGCAAAGAATCATAATAAATGAGAGAGAAGTGAAGCCTCAAGATAAAAAATTTTTAAACGCCTAGGAGTAACCACTATGTATTTGTGTTTCTAACAACTCTATTGAAATATAATTTACATACCACAAAGTTCACTGATATATATAATTCTACGGTTTTTTTAGAGTTGTGCAACCATCACCATAATCTAATTTTAGAACGTTTCATCACTCTAAAAATCTTGTGATCATTACCACTCCCCTCCCCAACACCCCCAGCCCTTCCCCTTCCTCCTGTGCAGACACATACACAACTTGTAGTTTGTGTTTCGATGGATTTGCCTATTCTGAACATTTCATAAAAAATGGAATTATACAGTGTATGATTGGCTTCTTTTACTTGGCATTATCTTTTCAAGGTTCATCCATGTTGTAGCATGTATCAGTACTCCATTTTTATGGCTAAATAATATTCCATGGTATGGATATAGCACATTCTTTTAACCTGTTCATCTGTTAAAGGACATTTGGGTTGTTTTTACCTTTTGGCTATTATAAATATTACTGCTGTGAACATGTTTTCATTTCTCTTAGGTGGATATCTAGGAGTGGAATTGCTGGGTCACAGAGAAACTATGTTTAACCTTTTGAGGAATCTGCCAACTGTTTTCCAAAGTGGCTCACCATTTTACAATCCCACCAGCAACGTATTCCAATTCCTCCACTTCCTTGTCAACACTTGTTGTTGTCTATCATTTTTATTCCAGCCATCTGAGCAGGTGTGAATGGTTATTTCATTGTGGTTTTCATTTTCATTTCCCTCATGACTAATAAAATTGAGCAAAAAAGATTTCTTTTTGAATGTTTTTATCATCCCTGGAAGAATACCTCAAATTAATAACAGTGGTTGCCACTGGGGAGAGGAAACAAGAGACTAAGTTCCCAGTAGGGAATCCCCCATGTAATCTTTTGTACTGTTTGGTTTTTTTTTTTTTTGTCATGTGCATTTGTTAACTTAAAAAAAGTCAGGCCTTCCCTCTGGGGATTCATGGAAAGACATCATAGTGCTCACGAATCTCTGGAATTCAGCTACAGAATTCTCTATGTATGAATTTACAGCTTACTGATGGAAAAAGGCCCAAAGTTTTCATAGATTCTCAAAAGTGGTTCACTGATCTCTTCAGAAATATATGAAGCCCTGGTCTGGAAATTCCAGTATGTCTGGATAACATAACCCTCCTGGCATTAGTGCTCTACTGCTCAAAAAGCCCTGGAAACATACTGCTCATAATTTTAAGGTGCTGACCACATGCCAGGTCCTGTTTGGAGCACTTAACACTGACTCTAGTTGAATCCTCACAGCCACCAACGCTTAAGACACTGGTGTCAGTACAGATCACCGTCCACCGGGGCTGGAGCCCACCTGGCTTTGTTACATATCAGTCCAAAACTGACCTTGCTGGGGGACTGCTGAATGCTTCCACCAGGCAGAATCTGCCCCTTGTCCTGACAACAAACCTATGAAACAGGCACTTTTTATTCTCCCCATTGTATAGATGAAAAAACAGAGGCTCAGAGTAACTCCCTAACTTGGCCCAAGATCATGCAACTACTAACAACCAACATTTTATAGCCAGCATCCAACTTCTTAGCCACCCCACGATACCCTTCAGGGATGCAGGGCACCTTCTCCGAACAAATTCATCTGGACACAAAACTAACTACAGGATATTTGCTGACTTTACCAATGTATTTTTATTTAGAAAAAGAAAAAGAAAGAACCCACTATATTAGGATTATTTAAAATAGGACACACTGAATTTAAAATAGCATTTCACAAAAAGATTTACGACATGACTTTTCAGAAATAGATCCACTGCATAAATGTTAGGTACATGGCAGAAATAAACATTTAATGTCTTTTTATTTATTTATGTTATAAAACAGGACAAGTGCATTTTCAAAGTTGTTCTGTAGCCACGTCTCACCTGCTCTTCCCAACAGTCCAGGGAAGGAGAATGAACACGTGTTACTTACAAGGAAACTGAGGTTCCAGAAATTAAATGACTGATTTAATGAGCAGCACAATCAAACATGAAACTAGTTCTTCCAGTTCTTCATCCAGCCATAAATAATACATAGTCTCTAAATAAAAGCTCTTTTAAAAATATTGGCATTAGTGGTATGGTTGGATAAAGGTGCAGAGCGGGCATTCAATAAATATCCATGGGTTGCAAGATTTCCAAAAGAGAAAGCAGAAAACCTCCAGAGCCCTCCGCCAGGTGGCTGGTATTCGTAAAACTTGAGACCTTGAGGAGGGAGTGTAGAATCACACTGGGACATAAGTTGACAGTCTTTCAGGTCATGGAAGTTTGCAGGCTGTTGGTGGCAAATATTACCAAGAGATCTTGACTTTGGAAAGTGCACTGGCACTCAGAATGCCCTGTCAGTTGTCGAGAGTGAGAGCCGGGCCATGGCATCTGCTGGGATGGTTACAGTCACACGTTCCCCGGAACCGCAAGATCACCCACAACCTGGGCCCATGTACTAGCGTTTCCACCTCAGTCTCCTGATGCCCAGGGCTCTGACCCCCCCAGAAAGGAAGAGGGCATCATAGATTTTTGTGTCTCTGAAAGCTGAGGTCCTGTCTCTCCTAACTCACTCTGGTAAAACGGAAGTGTCTCTCTCCCCGCAGGGAAACTGATATTTGTGTATCTTGGGAGATCTTGACTCTGCCTCAGATCTTTTTCTTGATTTGACATTCATCTTTCCAATGGAGGACAAGGGTCCTCAGCTGTGTTTGCGTCATCAGGGGCCAAAAAGCTCAACGCTGTCCAGTTTCTCTTCTTTGTAAAGGAGGATATTCTCCATTAGTTTCCTTTTGGCCTCATTGATCTCAATTTTCCATGAAGTCTCTGTAGCTGAAGTTCAATACGAAGTTAAAAAAAAAGCAACTTGAATAAAGGGTATTTGGAAATTGTTATTATTGTTATAATTCTTAGAAAGCCAGACCTGGTCATAGTTTCTCACTTAAATCCAGCTTCTGCATCAGGCCCAGAGAAGAACAAGCATTGTCATTGCTTCTGCCTTTGCAGGGAAGCCCTGCCACCTGCCTCCACCACCTTTCAGAGAGGAAGGGCTCCCAGGCTTCTCCCCTGGTGAGGGGGCAGGATTGGAATGAAGCTTACACCCTCTCTCTCTCCTTCCTCTCACCTCCTTGTGGGAGGAGGAACAGTAAGAGAGGTCAGAGCCTGAGATACAGAACCACATTTTTCTAGGGGATGGGGACCCTGAATTGTAAAGGCCTCCTGAATTTTTATTTCAGAAGGAAACCTGGTGTA